AATTAGATTTTTTTAAAATACTACTTAATATATATATATATATATATAAACTTGATGAGTAGTATTTCGAGCTAAAAGGAGCCGAACACGAACGAACACATCTTAGTTCGGGTTCAGCTCGTTAACTTATTGAACGAAAATAACGAGTTGAACAAGAGCTTCTTAACGAGCCGAACAAGAGCTGTTCGCGAACAACGAGCCGTTTTGACAGCCCTAGTTGGGTCAGGCTTATGGGGTCAGACTTCATCTGTCGAAACTTATGTCTCCTCATATTAATCAGGTCGGTCTTGTTAAAGTTAGCGAAAATGTTGCAAGCTTTCGGTAAGTCAATCCTAAAAGCATTGTTGTTCCTAAGTACATCATGATAGAATAAGTATTCATCTACTTTTTTCACAACTTGAGCTGGAGTTGCATAATAATGTAGATTTTCACGTCCCAAATCTTGAGCAAGTAGATTTATAATCTTCTTCTCTCACTCCTATTATGTTGGATGTGTCTGATAACTAAGCCAAAATTTATGGCAGGATGAGCCATATTGAAAGGTAACCACTCAACAGAGGCAAAAGTATTCATCTACTTTTTTCACAACTAGGTCAGGCTTATGGGGTTAGGAAAGTTTCGACTTCATCTGTCGAAATTTCTGTCTCCTCATAGTAATCAGGTCGGCCTTGTTAAATGTAGCAAAAATTTTGCAAGCTCCCGGTAAGTCAATCCTATAAGCATTGTCGTTCCTAAGTACATCTTGATAGAATAAGTATTTATCTAATTTTTCACAACTTAGAGCTGGAGCTGCATAATAATGTAGATTTTCACGACCCAAATCCTCAGCAAGTAGATTTAAAATTTTCTTCGCCCACTCATATTCAGTGAAATGTGTCTGATAACTAAGCCAAAATTTATGGCAAGATGATCCATACTGAAAGGTAACCACTCAACAAAGGCATCTTTTTCTTCTTCTCTGAAAGAGCATGGATTTCACTGTAGGATGTTCCTTTCTTCAAAGCTCCTAAGGCAATTTCCAACATCATCCATCCTGCCTGATAACCTGTCAGTGTATATATTGTTGAACTGAGTTTAATACCCAATGACTCTTTATGGAGTTCCAGAAGTGGCACAAAAGAGTCTCATCCTGCACATACTAAAACAACAGGGAAAACTATGAAATTAATCTATTTATCTGAAGAGTCAGGATTTCTCTTATCTGAGGTTGCTTTGTGTTTGATATCGGCTTGATATTGGAGTTAACCAAAACAACAATAAAAAATCAAATATTATTACTAGAAGCAAACATGCAATTACAACCAAATACACTTTAAAGAGAAAATACAACACACACGAAACACAACTCGTGTTAGGGCAGATTCCGGGTGATAGTGGTGATAGTCAGTCAATGATAACTAGTTAAACAAAATCAGAACAAGTAAAGATTATTACTGAAAGGCCAATAGGTGCGGCTAAAATCGCAAGCACTTGAGAAGGAGAAGTGCAACAAACACGACACAACGCCCACAATGGTGGATCGCGTGGTGGTGATAGTGGTTGTTAGGGGTTTGAAAAGGTGGTGGTAAATTAAAGGAGACGCAGAACGGCGAGGAAAAATGACACAATAATAGACGTTTGTTGTCCTGGCGACAACATCCAAAAAACAGCAGAAACAACAAGAGGTAAACAGGACAAGGAGCGACACCTTGTTGTTTGGGTGGTAGCAGCGAGGCATGCGGGTGGACAACAAGGTACGATCGGTCAAACAGTAGCAGTTTGTTGTTTGGGGTTGGCAGCAGCAAGGTAGAGGGGTTTTCAGTCGGTCGTGAGGGTTGACAGCCGGTAAGAATGGCTGCGACAGAAGGATAACAGCCATAGAAAGTGGTAAGGACGACTGCGGGTGCTGGAACAGGTAAGGACATCAACTACTCGTTGTCCAAGATCGCGACAACAAGCCGAAAGCGGATGGCAGTGGCTAGAAGATAGGAAAACCATAGAGAAACAACAATAAGGTTTTTTTCCGAGTGGTTGCAGCGAATAAGATAATTGCGGAAGCAGAGGGATGGTTGGGGAAGAGTGAAAAGGTCAAGAAAAATCACCACCTCAAACAAGATATAGTCAGAGCATTACTAATCGTTGGACACAACCCAAGAATAGAAAAACTGGATGCCGACAGATATCCTAACAGAAAAACACCAAAAAAATGACTTCCAAATCCTAATATAACACATACATAGAAAATAACTAAAAAAGGATAAATGATAATAGAAAAGAAAGCATAAGAAAGGAAAATGAGATTATTTCGGCCCATCTCTTGTGATAGCAAATTCTGTGGTGCTATAGTAGCTACAGTACCACGGTAATTTTGTGCGGTAGGCTCCTGCGTTAGTTAGGGGGCTTGGAGAGAAGATGAAAAGATAAGGAATGGCCTTCTAAGCAGTGAGAGCGGAGCAACAATTTTGGGCGGCTGGAACAACAGGGCAACAAGCGATGGCAGTTTAAACAACAGTTTGTTGTTTGAGGCTGTTGGACAACAAGAAAGCAAGAAAGGGAAGATGTTGTGTGTTCCTGCAACGACAGTCGATGGCTTGGATTGAGAGTGTTGCGAGGATGAAGAGTTGGAACGGTGATGGTAAGTTGGCAACAAGAATGAGGCTGCTCGAACGGTGATGGTAATAGGGATGGGGCAGCTAGAACGTTGTGGGCTGTCAAAAACAACAAGATCGAGGTTTGGTGGTTGCAATGAGGAAAGAAAAGTGGCAGCGAATTGAGGGGTGTGGGAAAGAAAATACTGAGGATAAATATTCCCTCAGAAACAAGCTACAACCGAAGCACCACTCGACCCTTGGAAGAATGTCACCTTAGACGAGTGACAGTAAGAGCACATTCTCGTATTCTGATATAGCCCTACAAGGGGACCATCGGATGTTTGTGGCTATCTTGACAAAACTTTTAGCAAAAAACTAAACCAATAACATCATGAATACAAATATATAATAAGAGGAAAATCAGACGAGAGGACCGGTCGACTCCTTGAAAAGATAAAACCTGGACCGTTTTGGTCCAGGTAAAAATTGGGTTGCAGAAAAAAGATTGTGTGCGGGGTTTGCCGCCCCCAAGTGGGCATGGACGCCCCCATGTCGAATATGGTCATTTTGGACATCCAATGTCAGTCCTTTTGATGCTCTTCTCAACGCCTGCAAAATGGTAATTGAAAGCACCACAATCTCATACTTTGCATGAACACTCATTACCTTGGGCTCAGTATCTTCTAAATCAGATACTATAAACTCAACTCGAGTTTCACTCCTGGGTTCAACTGCAATCGATGGCGTCTCTTCCTCACCTATTAGAAGTTGAGAATCTTCTCTTAGATCTTCATCTTCTTCTAGATCACTGTTTATTTCTTCAACTGCTTCCCAAACTATGAGAGAGAACATTTTTCTAGTTGTGCACTCTGATTCAGTATGCCTAATCCATGGCATTTAAAACACTTCCTGACGGAAACAGATATGAAAATAAGGATTAGTTCTACATGTTTTCTCCTCTAAGCTAGTGCATTCTTGGGCAGGCTTGGCTTGAATGTTCCCCTGACTGTACTCTTGTTGCAAGATCTTGGGGTTTAACTCTATCTTTAAAATGTGATTTTCCCTTGAGTGTTCTCTACACAACATTTCCATTATAAACTGGTAGGCACTGGCGTTACATCTCCTGTTAGATTTGAGACCTAGTAGTGTATTATCTTTTCCCTCGCGCTGAGGTAGGTGATTCAAATTTTGTCATCAAAATAATGCACTCTTCTTTAACTTGTTGGAAGCTAGTTTTACTATCAGGTCCGGTGGGACATCCTGGTACTCAAAGAAAAGTTTCGTGGTGTGAAGCCAATTGATGAGCATGTTCGGATACAAATGACCATCAAATTGTGGAAAAAATACACTGCTATCTCAAAGTCCTAACTCAGATATTTAAGGTCAATTCTTCATAATAGCGGCCCTTAACCCTTAAAATATCTAACAAGCACTTCTCCTCAATATCCTCAAACAGTCACTTCATATCTGTATTCTCTGACAGTCACTTCATCTCTGTAATAGAATGAAGTTAGGGTGACCCCACTGAAGGATTTCTTTCTCTCAATTTTATCGACTTGTTGTGGTGCTCGGCGGACTTGTGGTTGTATCCTTTCCATCATAAACTCCTAATTAGCGTCTCGCACTTGTCTCAGGGGTGGTGTGGTAAGGGTTTAGGGAGTAGATAAAAATAATGTAGGGTGTAAGGATGGTTTGAGTGGAAAAGGAGAGAAATTTCTTTCGAGAGATTGCGGGGGGGGGCGAATGGGTGGAGAATGGTTTAGGTAATGTGGACGCTAGAAACATTAAAGTAGAAGTAGGCTCATACTAGCTCTAATACCAATATATATTGAAGTTAACTCAAACAACCATAGGAAAAGTAGATATTATTACGAAAAGCAAAGAGGTGGTTATAACCAGCACACTTGAAAGGAAAAGTACAACAACAGGACACACAAAAATCTAAAATAGAAGCAGAAACGACACAAAATCTTAACTAGGGTTGATTTCGTGTGGTGGTGGTGGCCGATAGAGGCATGGAAAAGCAGTATAAAGGGGGTGTGTGGATCAAGCAATGAAGAAACAATGGCTATAGGCAGTTCTAGGCGGTGAAAATAGAAGTTAGACTATGAGAACTTGGTTCCTGTGGCGTGGGGAGTGGTTTAGAGTGGCTGGAACTGCAATGGCATTGTCAGAGAAGTGTTGGAACAACAGCGAAGCTACAGGATGTGGTTCAAGTTGCAAGAAAAACAACGGACAGAAAGGTGAGGCGCTTACAGGGTTATGGCAGCGAGGCAGAAGACTAGAAGAAGGTGGAGGGAAGGTTACGGGTGGCTGGTATAAAAGTGGAAAGTAATGTAACGGGCTTACGGAGCTGCGATAGTGAGGCAAGGGTTGTGAGAAGGTGGAGGGAAGGTTGTGGGGGCTAGGACAACAACAAGGGCGCCAGAGGAATGATTCTAGGCAGCTGGCAGTGAGCAAGGGTAGTTGGGAGAACATGAGGTGCAGCAAGGAGGAAGATGTGTTAGCGAAGCGAGAGGGATGCGGAGGAGTTGGACAAGGATAACACAAACACCATTCAACCCTTGGAAGAGAGTCACCACCTCGGAATGAGATAGAGTGGAGCACCACTCACTCCCAAATACAGCCCTAAAAAGGAAAAACTTGAAGTCAACGACATTCCTAACTAAAAACAAGAAGAAAACCTACCTATAACACATAAAGAACAAATTTACGGACTTAGGATAAATAAGAGTGAACCCCACTCCAAATAGAAAGGAAATCCATGAAAGGAAGTGTTGTTCGGCCCTCTTAGACTGGTCACAGTCGCAATCTCCTGCGTTACTATAGAAAGGATCGCGGGCGGCTCCATGCAATACAACTCCATGCGATAGTGTAGCTAGAATCAGGCCACAATAGCAGAACATACGAAATGGTTGGGGTCCCTGCGGTAACCCCGACATCAAATTGATTGGTGTGCATGTACATCTTTCAAACGAAAAAGAAAAAACTCAAATGAACTAACACATCAGGATATGGTAAAGTAGATAATTTCATGCATACCGAGAATTGTGCCGTACTCAAATGATGAAAGAGGATCATCTGTGACTCCTAGTTTGAGAAGACGCAACCACAATCCCTGTAAATGGTATAAATCCGCATATTCAAAATCAATGCCATGCTTAGCTTAAATTATATCATAATTTACCAATTAAAATGAGCTAACATAAAACAAATGACAGTGACAAATGAATGGAAAATAAATAGTAACATATAATTAATCCCAGCACCACCAAGAATAAGGTGTAAATATTCTTTTGGAAAATGTGCATATGTAGCACACAATTCTTATATATTTGCATATGTCACACCTAAACTTTCATATTTACATACATAGCACTTTTAAAAGTGAAAGTAGTGATATTTTTAATGTTATATTAAAGATTTGCGTGCTATGCACTTAAATATGAAAGTTTATGTGCGAGTTTTGTAAATGTATAAGAATTGTGTGCTACGTATGTAAGTTTCCCTTATTTTTTCCCTATTTGTAGCATAAAAAGGAAAACAGGTTTTATTAATATAATTATAAGTCAGATGGAATGAATACTTTTTAAGGCGCTACCACCAAGTCCAAACTATTAGAGGTTGTCTTTCAGATTTCATCATCGCAATTCAAGTCCAAATTGCATTTGGTGTAAAACTGCAGTTTTTATAAATCATGTGAAAGAGTTCTGAAAATGCCTGTGCCTTCTGCAGAACCTTCTAGCCCTCTTAACAATAATACAATTTCAAAGCTAATTGGTGCTTCCTCTTAAACTTCATATATGAAAATTAATCTGAATAGAAAACAGAGGAGACACGGGATGGGCTTACAGGACTCAAGATCACATTCAGCTCGTAAGCAGACACAGGATTTCTTGCATTCCCGCGGTCACGGGATGAGATCCCAACCCAGTATGGAGTTTCAGCGGGATTTCTGCAATCCAACAAGGAAGATGGTGGAATTCCGCCCCTATCAATGCCAAAACAGGCATTTTTTGCCTATAGTGCTATCATCCTTGTGAAGCTTAATTTTATTATATTTCTGAATTAGAATTAAGTTTTTTAATTAAGGGACTCTTTATATATTGTTATTTTCTATTTCTTGAGACATTTGACGTTTTAGAAAAATTCTTCGTTTTATGCTTTTCTGAGTATTGTATCATTTCCTTTTTCAAGTGCTGTGTATGAATCATGCTTAGAAACAGGTAGTGGATCATCTACGACCTTCCTATCTAGCTGTTATGGAGTTTGACCTGCTGTTTCAGTCCGGACAGCCGCCAAACAACATCTATCTCCTCCACACATCTAGGTAGCCCATATTTTCAATCCCTTGTTGTTCCACAACCACATCCCTGCTAGATCCGCTTCCTGAACATCTTCTAAGAGCCCTAGAAAGGTATCATCTGGTATCATAATCAGGCAAATCCTAGGATTTTATGGTTTTACCTCTCTTAATATAATCCAATAATTCTAAAAAAAAATCCCACCATACAAAAATCATTCATATTGCACTTTCTAGGCCCAACCCTAAATTTTCAAAATTAAACTTGCCTATCTCCAACAAAAATCCATCCCAACACCTATCATCAAAACTCTAAAATTCGACCACTCTTTTATCTACAATCTTACGACCATCAAAATCTTGATCAAGAAAAAAGAACTCAATGCCACAAAGAAGATTCCCTCAACGGATGCTCAGAAAATTACTATGGAGGACATGCAGCAGAAAATCCTCCGATTTCAATAGAACCTTGCAACATGGGAAAGTCACCATAGCAACAATAGTGATCACACAGATGGATTGGATGAAAATCCTTTCCATCAAGAAGCTTCAAGTGACAAAAACTCGATGTCGTGTCTATTTATCATTCAGTAAAGAGAGAGAAGGTGAATTTAAAGTAAATGTAGATTTATCGGATTTTGATGGTCGCATGAATCCAAAAAAGTTCATCGAGTGATCACAACCTGTGGAATGTGTCTTTGAATACAAGCACATCCTACTTGACAAAAGTTTAAAGCTATTCACCCTCAAGTTCAAAAAAAATGCATCTATATGATGAGAAATGTTGAAACGCATATACCAGCGAGAGGAAACAAGCAAATTCACTACTTGATCCAAGATGAAAGGCAGATGCACTGGAAGTATTTACCCGCACATTGCAGAAAGAGAATGTTCCAAAAGACCTCTCTTATATTGAAGTGTGGGCTAGTTTAGCCTGAGGAGAACATCATAGCATATCATCTAATGGCAACTTCTTAAAGGTACAACTCTATTGAGACAACAAAGTAATATCAGGTCAACACCATCCTTCAAATAAAGTTCAGTCGGATCATATGGCAAGAGTACACCCAGTGGTTGCATTAGAAACAACAAGACATCCAGTCAGATCATATAGCATGACTCGTGAGAATACCCATCAATATACAATTCCAGCTCTGGTTGTGCAAAAAAAAAATGATGAATATCTATTCTATCAAGACACTTTGGAAGGACGTATGTGTTTTAGAGTTCCCTAAAATGAAAGTGAGCATAAATTTTATAGTGAAGTTGCATGAGACACAACAAGAAACTTGACTTTACTATGATGGTGGTAGATCATTTCTAGAATCTTCTAACGAAGAAGGCATAGCCCCTCCTCCCAAAAAGAATGATGCGGGGTGTGCTTATGGGACTTGGGGTCATGTTCGACTTGTATGCGTAAGAGGTATTTCACATATTCCTACGGTTACGGGATCAAATCAAGTCCCAGAAGAGAATTTTTATGGAATTTTTGCGACCCGCAAAGGGAGATTATGGGATTCCGCCTAGATCCGTGCCAAAACAAGGATTTATTACCTATTTGGTTTAATATTCTTATATTCCTGAATCAGAATTAGGATTTTTGCTAGAGAGACTATTCATATGTTGTTCTTCTCTATTTCTTGAGACTTTTAAAGATTGTTATTATTTTGGGAGACATTGCTCTAAATTTTATGTTCTTCAGGGTATTATCATTTCCTTTTGCAAGTGTTGTATTTACATCAAGCTTAGAAATGGGTGGTGGATCCTTCTCCACTTTCGATCACGACATTACAATGTTTGACCTGTTGTTTTCAATACGAGTAGTCGCCGAATGACATTTATCCTCTCCAACCACATCAAGCAGCTCCATTTTCATTCTCCGACTATTACACAACCACATCCCTCCTAGATCCGCCCCCAAATACTTCTAGGACAAATAGAACAATATAAAGAGGTCAACATTTTACCCTCAGTGATTAAATCACTTATCACTCTAATACTCCTATTCTCGACTAAATCTACTAAACTTGTTTTCTTCTACCATCTTGGCCCACAAAATATCAAGCACAATGATTGGCATGAAAACACCTCTTATGAATCATGATACACATGTAAAGATCCAAAATACAAATTATTTAATAAAGAAACATCAATACTAAATTATTACTTAATTAGCATAATAGTTGAAGTAAAAACTTAATTTAGCCATCAAGATTATATTATTTTTTTAGTAAATTAATTGTTCAAAATAAATAAGTTCAGTTTTATGAGAGAAATTTTTGCACAAAAACAGTTATCGGCATACAACAATATTTTTAATCAACAAACTATGATAAAATATATTCATAAAATGTTGAAATGAAACGACCTAATTTTAGTTCAATTGAACTACCAAAAATAGATGGATTATTTCCTCTAACAAGGGCAAGGGGGAAGCAAATTCATGATAAAAGAGAATGAGCGAGCATAAGAAAAAGTGGAAGCTCAAACCAAGGAACAAAAAAATGCCACAGGCACGGAAAACATAATTAAGCCGACAAAACCGAATGTGGGAAAAGCCATAGGAGAGGAAAGTCGCAAGCAAACAACGTTGCATCCTCATAATCTTTTATTAATTATCATTCAAAGCAAATATTTATAAATTTAAAAATACAAATTTCAAAATTTTGTTATTTCATTAAATTATCCTAATTTCATTAGATTAGTCCTTAAATTTCTCTTTTCTTCTTTTTTTTTATTAAATTAAAACTTTGAATTTATTATTATTAATCTTTTGAAATAGAGATAACTCTAAAATGCATATTAAAAAAATATATATAAAAAAAAACTCTTAACCCTCAATGCACGTCTCCATTTTATTTTCTTCCTTCGGCCACAAGTACCTTCACACACTCGAGTTGCTCACGAGACTCCTCACTCACAAGTGACTATTCTTCCCTTTGGCTTTTTCTAGTTTGGGAAGCAGTTCTCATCGCCCAAGCCACAAGCTCGATTCTCTCTCTGGTATCAACTTCCTTCTACGCACTTTATCCTTAAAGCCGAGGCAAAAAATGACAGGCAAGCACATGGCTTGAGTCATCATTTATGCCCTAACTCCAAGATCCCCTTCTCCTTTGCTTGCTATTGTGTTTTCCTTGCTCAAGTTCACAAGCATCGCCGCCCTCCACTTTGCTCGAGGTCGCTACTCTCACCTGAATCCCTTCGATAGTATCTTCCTAAACTACTCTCCTTCGTACACGTCTCTGATTTCTTTTAGGATTTCGAAGTCATTTCGCTTTGAAAGATAGGTTATGTTCCCTCTTATCACAATTAATGTTTGCCTCCCCCACTAGTAACGCTTGAGATATGCAGAAATAACCAAACGTTACCATTGAGCGTTATCGGCTCTAGGAGGGAAAGATCTTGTTATGACATTCCCTGGGGCGACAATCCTGCCGGCAAGGCTTCACCTTTTTCTCTGAAACTTCTGGATCATCGTAGTATGATGACAAATCAATGATGTTAAATGTCATAGAAATGTTGTAGTCTCCCAGTAGGTCAATTTTATAAACATTATCATTAACCTTCTTGATAATTCTAAGGAGCCATCAGCTCTATCCCTGAGTTTTTTAAAGGAACTTGGAAAAAACTTCTCATTTTCTAACCAGATCCACACCAAGTCACCATTCTTGAAAGCCATAGCTTTCCTAGACTTAGTAGCCTGCATCTAATACTTGGTGTTCTACTTAACAATTCTCTTCCTCACCTGCTCAAATAAAGTTTGAATCTCTTTAACTCTAGCCTTTGCTTCAGCATTAAGCTCAATGGTGGAAAGAATAGGTACCAACTCTAATACTATGAGAGGGTTTAATCGATGCAGCATCGACTCTTCGTCGCTTAAGGATTTTTGGTAAAAAATTGTTCACATCGTCTTCTCCATCCAGTTGGTTATCATTGTTGATGTAGATGACATCCTCATATTACCTTCTTGCAAAATCAGCATGCCTCCAATTCAATTGGATGATTTCAGATTGGCAACATAATCACTCGCTCCTCACTTCATGATTTCGACTAAAGTAAGATTATGCATCTAAGGTTAGTCAAAGGTTTAGATTTAGACGGAGGGTTTATAGAAATATAAAAATTAGATTTTTGAAGATTAAAGATTAAGAGTTGGGAATTGAGATTAGCATTTTGCTCTGAGATGCCAAATGACCCCGCTCTGGATTTCTAGAAGGTGTAGATAGTAGAAAGGGTGGTTGGGTTATTAAACAATTGAAAAAAAAAGGAATAAATTGTTTGGAAGAGAACAAGGGCGGAGGGCGGAGGCTGCAGTCTCTGAACGAAAAACAGCAACGAACAGTACCCGACTGTTATATTGGCGAAGTCCGAATGAGATGATGATCCACCATGACGTGGGAGCAAGAAACACAGAAAAAAATTGGTTTTACATTGTTATATTTATGTTAAGCTTCAAAATTCCATCCAAAATTGATACTCTGAGCTCTCTGGGCAATCCGTGACACAGCATGCATAATAGCACAGAATTACCTTACTATATAAAGGGTAATAGCCAAACGTAGTGCTAACAGAATTTACCTGTAGCTTTACTTGGATATCTAATACCATGCGCTCCCTCTCAGCCTGCAGATTATAATCGTTCAAAGAAGAGGTTTCACTTCACGAGTATTCAGCCATTTAAACAAAAAAAAAAAAAACAAGTGTAACTCACTGCCCTCTCCCTGGGACTCAAAGCATCCCCATTTGAATCAATACCACCAAGCATGGAAGGCGAGCTGGACCAAAAAAATTGAAAAAAACAGAGAAAGCAAGAAAAAAAAAAGGAACAATTTAGATACATTTGTATAATTTAGGCTGCTCTCGAAGCTTCTTATACCTTGGTGATTGTTTTGCAGAATAATCCAAAGCACCGCTAGCTACTGCAAGAATGGATCTACGCTTTTCTTCCTGCTCGTGGGTCCTAATGCTTGCTGGAAATCGATCATAATGACACTTTTCACCTGCACATGAAGAAAATTGATAATAGTTATCCAGCTCAAGGACAAAAAGAATGTAGAAGTGAGACCTTACATACAGATATTCATGTAAATTAAACCAGCAATGACAGGCTTGCATGTTTGAAATAATAAAAAAAAGAAATAGAATATCCAGAGAACCTGCTGCCTCTTTATAAAGAGAAGATACTGTAATGATCTCAGGCTCTACAGCAGAGGGAAAGATAATCATGGGATCTTGACCCCTGCCGGTTGCATCTTGCAATTTGTTAAGAAGGTTACCACTGCTTTCATCGGAATTGCTAAATCTCTCCAAATAGTCCAAGAAACCTTGAGAATCTAAGAATTGCGCAATCTGAAAAATGGCACAAGATTCAAAGAACACATGCAGAAAAAATGGCAGAAAGCCAAATTGAATAAATTGAGTTTAAAGTCTTCATATTTTTATCAGGAAATGAACAGGAATAAAAGAAAATATTTATATCCAATGTTATGAGAAAGCCTAATTAGAACTACCTTATGTATATCCCCAACCATGCCTGCAAAACTGACACCAGAGGAAACCCAGATCACAATAGAAATAGACATATTATAGCTGAATTTCAAGGGATTACAAACAGCGACACTTGCAATAAGATAAAAACACAAAGCTAGGGCGTGGATTGGGGTGGAGGTGTTGTGGTTGTATGTTGGGTGGAGGGTGATGGCAGCAGGAAGGTTTAGGAGGGGTTGTACAGGTTCAGACTGCAGTGGGGAAGAAAAGAGAGAGGGCTCGGTTGGGCTATATGCGATTGGACTGGAGTAGTGAAAGGAAACGTTGAAGGGCTGCTGTTGGTCTGTTGGAGTTGGGCAGTAGTGGGGAAGGAATTGGGGAAGGGCTGCTGTTGGACGTTTGGGCTGTAAGAATTGGGCTGTAAAGAGGAAGGAAAAGAGAAGGCCGGCTGTGTGGAGGTTGGCTTTGGGGAGGAAGACAGGACCATGGGAAGGTGCGGTGGGACAGCTGTGAGAACAGTAACAGCTACGGTAAAGATGGCTGTAGGGAGGCGGGAGTTGTGAGTTGGACAAGAGGGAGTGCGGGCTGAAGGCGGTAGCAGGGAGTGGGAGATGGGCCGACTGGGATTCTGGCGCGACGGAAATCTGCAGAGGGAGCCTGCAGGTATTACGTCTGGCAATCAATCCCGGATGTGCTGAAGGAATCCCAAGCTGGCTGGACAGGATGGAGGGGAAGTAGCGAGAGGGGGAGGCTGGAAGCGAGCAAAGGATACAATCAACTCTGGTGTGAGGGACACAACCGAAACACCACCCTAAACGTCAGATACAGCCCTATTCCGACAGCTTTCCTCACAAACAAAAATCGGAAAATAATATAAGTTAACCCTAACACTAAAAACAACATATAAATAGAAGAGGGATGGGCGGGAAACGAAAAAATGAAGGAGAGGAAATTCTCGCTTACTGATAGTTGTTCTCAACTGAACCAGCTCAGACCTAACCGGTCCAAATTTTAGAGAAAAACCCCCGAGTCATTTTCCCGAGATTGGGGGAGCTTCAACCACATTAGTCGAAGCTCCTAGCTCCTGATGGTTTGGCATTAAGTCCCCTAGTAGGTTGATAATGTCGGTGATGTCATTCCACAATACATTCTCATAGAATAGGTAACCATCCTCTTGTGGCATATCCTGAGAGGGAGCTGCATATAGAGGTGGGTTCCCACAATACCGCTCGAGCCCTTACACGTGGAATCTTCTCATTACACTTCTCGTGCCTAACGTGTAGTGATTGAGTAACAAGTATGTGTGGACAACTCAATTCTAGGATGAAATTTGTGGCGGGTTGTGCCACTCTCACTGGCGATCACTTAGGAATGCTATATTCTTCACTGACAGAGCCTAGGCCCATTAAAGCATTTTCATCCCACTCAAGCTCCTAGGGCACATCTCAAAGCTGAGGTTCATCCATCCTGTCTAGACATCTGCTGATGGGTACCCCGCTGAGCTGAATCAAACATCTGAAACACTCCTCGTAATATTCCAAGCATGGCACAAAATAAATCCTCTTCGTACATGCTGGACCTCCCTCCGTAGGGGCAACTCAAGAAGGGGTCCATAAATCTGAAACATTTGCATTCCCTCATTTGTGGTGACCATACATCTTATGTTGGCTCCTCAAACTCATACCTTTTGTAAACATCCAAGATCAATTCTGCTGATGTTTCTCTCAATGTTTGCAAAATATTAACGCGAGACACCATAATCTCATACACTGTTGGACTGTCCATTAGCTTGGGGTCACTATCCTCTAGAGACACGACTGTCATCTCAATTGGAATCTCTATCTCGAGATCAAATTGAATTGGTGGCGTCTGGAGTGACAGCTACGGTACAGGTGGTTGTGGACAGAAGTGAGTGCAGGCTGAAGGCAGTAGCATGAAGTGGGAGACGGGCCAACTGGGATTCTGGCGAGACAGAAACCTATAGAGAGAATGGGAATCTGTAGGTATTACGTCTGGAAATCGTTGTAGGATATGTTGAGGAAACTCTAAGCAAGCTGGATGGATTCATGGGAAGCAACAAGCAAGGGGTGGGTGGAAGCGAGCAGAAGATGAATACAATCACCATCAGGGAGAGGGATACACTCAGGGCACCACCCTAATCGTCGGATATAACCCTCGAGGAGAAAACAGAACGTCTGCGGCTGTCCTCAAAAATAGAAATCAGAAAATAACATAGGTTGAACCCTAACACTATAAACAACATATAAATAGAAGAGGATGGGCAGGAAATGAAAACATGAAGGAGGGAAAATTTCCGCCTAATGAAGAGTAGAGAGGGGGGTGGGAGGACTGTTCAACCCCCTCTCTCAACTAAACCGGTTCAGGCCAACCGGTTCTGCTTTCGGAGAAAAACCCCCGTGTCAAAAACTTAGACTGTAATGCCAGAACAAAACTGAATCATGAACAAGGTTTTGTAGTTCATGTAAAAAGAAACCAGCCTTAGTAGTTAATTTCTGCTCATAAGGCTCAATTCAGCTGAAACACGAAGTTCAATATAGTAAATCAAAAAAAGGTAGGCATTAAAGCTTTCAAGCCATAAGGAATACTAGCGCAAAAGTTCTTTCCATCAACGATTAACAATGTTCCCACAGGAGCCATTAGCGAAATAGAACCTAAGATCCCCCAAAGAAAGTTACATAAGTTTTTAAACCCGCTAACTTCACAAACAACGAAAGAGTTTTATCTTGAAAATATATTAATAATAGGAAGATTTACATGCATACCACTCAATTTTTATGTAATTGCATATCTAATACCTAAACTTCAATTTTTACATATATGCCACCTTACCTATGTATGAAAAGGTGTATTTCACTTTTTAAAAGTTAAAAATATTGGTATTTTTTTATGTGACTGAAAGATTTAGGTGGTATAAATATAAAAAATTAATTTTAGGCTTTAGATATGTACAAAAAGAAGATTTGGGTGGTATGTATTTAAATGCGAACTCATAATACAGTGTTTCCTACATAAAATATAAATGAACAACTTATTTCAAATATTTCAAATGCGGGAGGAAGAAGTACTCAAAATGGAGGTAAAAAAACATATTAAATAAGAGAGAGAAATAGAAGTAATCATACCATCACCATTGACTCAACAGATTGATTAGTAGAACGCGAACGCTTCTTCATAAATGCTTGAGAATTGAAGATGTTATTAGCGGTGTTCTCCTGAAAAGCATTGATTTCGATTCAATAGAAATGTAGCATATTGGAATACTTAACCAAAGATCCATGCAACTTACAATGAAGTTACGGTAACCACTCAAAAGTAGTGCAAAAAATTTTAAGAATATTAGCCTGCATATTCATTAATAGATGGAATTAGCAAGCAGTTAATAAAACAATCTCTACTAAGGAATAGAAAATTTGAAATTCACACTCCGAAGCTTAATAAGTTAACTACTGAGTTAAAGCTGCACATGGATAATTCCTCTTATGAAGAAAATTCAAATAAGAATAAAATATATAGTGATTTTTTTTTAGACACGATGGAAAATTTTTTCTAAGGGGCCAAAGTTATAGTTGCATTTGCTCATTAGGGGTTGTTTGGCTGATTAGTAGAATGTAGTAAATTTGTTAATTCTTAAATTTACCCAATCCCTAGATTTAGTAAATCGGGATTTAAGCCGAATCCAAGGCAAAATTGGGGCTGCTAAATCCAAAAATTCATAAATCCACCTAACTCCTACATTTCACAATTTTACTAGATTTAGTAAATCTAAAGATAAATCCTATTAAAAGGCGCTACCAAACAGCCCCTTAGTTATGTTCAAGTAGTGTATTTGAAAGCTATAAATGGCTATGAAGATGTGGAAATGACAGGACCAACCACACAGCAGCTTGACTAAACAACTTTATCGGTACTGAGATTATTTTCCAAGGCCAATCAAGCTGGCTTAATTAATCAATAGACGGTAGAATACTATAATACTTTCAGAAACATGGCTGCAGAAAATAGAATTCATATTCTCATACAAGCCTTTGGTCATACTCAACATACCATGTCATCGATCCACTTCACTACCATTCAATATAAACATTCTCAAGATAATGTGATTATTGACCTCTGCATATGTAGAACAAAACCAATTCAATTAAATAAGACATTAATAACAGATAACTTATGCTGCGTCACAAAAACATCAGATCAGCACGTCTCAACAACAGTGGAAAATACTCAAACATTTTCCATCTCAGAAAATAGACCATGACAACATCATATATGTCAAAATGACCAACAAAAGACCCCTGCATCATAAAAATTGCCGCACAAGAAAAAAATCAAAACAAAAATATCCATTCACAAGCAATAACATAAAGTTGATATGTGCGAGAGGTGAAAAATTGCAAGGGAAAGTCAACATTTATATTAATATTATTTTTTTTATAAAATCAAATCAAAGAAATTAATTACAAAAAAGTCTTATTATAAAAAATTTATTGTTATTACTAGAAAATTTTAAATAATTATATGAATGCTATTATGTGCAAAGAAATAAGCTTTCGAAAACATTTTTGAAGGTTAAGCGGAGAATTAAGCTTTTGAAGAGATTTTTAAAGGTCAAGATAAGTAATTATATTTCTAAATTTCAGTAAATTTAATTATTTCTAAATGTATGTTTGATTGTTATTATTACTAGAAAATTTTACAAAATTACATGATTACTAATATGTGCGGAGAAATAGCTTTTGAAAGTTAAGCGGAGAAATAAGCTTTTGAAGAGATTTTTGAAAGTTAAGTGAGTAATCATATTTCTAGATTTCAGTAATTTTAATAATATATAAATGTATGTTTGCTTTCATTTATGATTCATTTTAGTGAGATTTAGATTACAAAAAAAATTTCATATTATTAGATAGAAAAATATGCATATTAAACAGATATATAATGAATTTACTATAAAATTATTTGATTATTGAATGACTTTTGAATTATAGTAAGGGTGGATATATATTAGGTTATTGCAGAAGCTTCAGATTTAAGTAGAAATGCAGATAGCATATCTGACGCGGGGGCTATAGAGGACCAACAGGTCCTCAAAGAGAGTAGGGGCTACCGCTCCTCTCTTCCCCTTCTCTTTCCCCATTCCTTTTCTCCATTTCCTTTCTTTCCTTCCTAGCATTTTTCTATTTTAAATCCTTTCCTAAAATCTAAAAGTTCTGATTATATTTTATTCTCCTTTCATATTTTAAATCATTCCTATTTCAAGTCATTTCCAAAATCTAAATTTTGATTACTTTATTTACCATTTCCTAAATCTGACCCTCACTTTATTTCCTTATCTAAATCTAAATTCCTGATTTGATTTTTCTTTTTTATTTTAGGTATTGCCTAAAATAAACTCCTGATAGAGTTAGGGGTCTTGTCTTTTATATCTCAATTCAAGTTTTAACCTTGATATTTTCCCTTCAAGGGTTGTATCCAAAGTCAAGGTGGTGCTCTGGCTGTCCCACGTCCGAGGTGGCGATCGTCTCTAAGGGTCTGAGTGGTGCTTCAGCTGTAACTCGACCCGACGAGACATTTATCTTACCATACTTCTATTTTCCTGCTACTATTTCAGAATCAAACTGCAACAGTGTCACACCTCTTCGGCCTTCACCACAGCCACCTAGCTTGCACCACCGCTCGGGCTCCCTCCTTGTCAAGTTTGTTGTCTCTTCTTTTGTCGAGACTTTATTTGTAATACTTTGTTTTACGTTTTTCTTTTGTGTGTTATTTTTTTTGTCTTCATTGTAACCTTGTTGAAGTCATTAATAAAATGGTGTCTTGCATCATGATTTCGGTTAATTCTGGTATAATTAATAAAACAGTCATGTACAACCAACTGCATAATGATTTATCAATGAAGTTATTAGAATAATGTAAGTCATTTTGATTTCAATAAACGTGCACTTATTCATAAGTAGAAGAATGCATAAGAAAAGAATACATAATATGTACGAATGAAATAATGTAAAGATAAATGCTAGTATGTACATGCTAAGTAGAGTTAATCCTCTTATGGTACAAGCAAGAGACGTCAATGTACCTGCGCGCGTAGATGTTTTCCAACCACACCAAACAATTCTGATGTTTAGATCGCAAATCGTTGTGTCGAGAAGAGAATATCGGCCAAGGCGAGTAGAGACATTTCCACCTCAAACAATCATGTAAATTAAATAACAAATCATTGTATCGATAGGATAATATCACTCAAGAAAGTGTTAGGTTATGTTTTGACAGTACTTTTAAGACAGATGTGAATATTAAGAATATTAAAAAACAGTAAAGTTAAAGTTATTGCATATAAAAAGTTTAGATTATTTTCATTGAATAAATATTATGAATACATTAAATTATTATATGATTTTACAGAATGAAATGTGAAATATTAACATGCATATTATTATTTTTTCTTGAATTGATAAATTTTAGAAGTGTGATTATTTTTGGGATATCCTTAGATAACTTATTATGTTGTTTTAAATTTATTTTTCAGGTATAAGCTTATTAAGTTGAATACTGAAGCAGATAATGTTTACAAAAGGTGTGACGCAGCAACCTGAAAGGTAAACTTTTATTTGTTTAATTTAATTGTGTTTTTATTTGCTCTTTCAATTAATTTATGGATAATAATTTTTATTGATAGAAATAGAATAATATAAAATTAATTTCCACCATCGGACTGTATGATCCTATCATGAATAATTTCAAACCCCGAGATGGATCGTGACAATATATGATATTCTTACGTTAAAAAAAAGTAATAATATTAATTTTTAAAAAAATATATTATTATTATTTATTAAATTAAATTAATTAACAAAAAAATCATAAGACATTATTATTACTTAATTATTTTAGATGGATATAAATAAATAAATATGAGCATACGAATAAAAATTAAAAATAAAGCTTTTAATATTAAAAAAATTATATCAATATTTTTCGATTATATCAAATTAACTATTTAGAAAATTATTATTATTACTAAATTTTTTAAATGCCTACGCTCTCCAACATAAACTACGTTCTCTTCATGGTCCTTACAAAATCACTTTTAAGTGAGTAGAAGCGCATTTGAACCTTCTTTAAAAATGATAAAAAAAAATCTCAGTATTATATTTTTAACTCGCGATAATTCACAACTATCAAAACCACACTCCATTCTCTCCATTTCTTAGATTTTCTCTTAGCCTTGCTTGCTTCCCCTCTCTTTCTTAAAACTATCTCTCTCATGCTTCTTTTCTCCTTTCACTAGAAAATCACACTAACCGCTTGCACCCTCACCAACACTCTTCCCTACAACACCTTTGTTTACGCGGTCTTCCGTCACTTGATCATGCAACCTATGTAGCCTCTCTTGAAAACATGAACCATTCACGACCACCTTTCTGCAAACCAAATCACCGGCTTCCCCATTTCTCACACTATATACTTTTGAGCTCATCTGCCTCATCTATAAGCCATTGTGGACAACAAACTAACCTTAAACAAATCATATATCTCACAATATTATGATTATCACAACACAACCCAACGCTTAAAATTGATCCAGACGGGAACATAAGATATGACGATGGAATTGAATTTTCTACATTCATTGTATATATAACTAATATTTAACAAATAAAAGAGCCGCTACATAAAATAAATTAAGGTAATACAGTTAAGCTTATCTTATTTATGATTTTTTGTGTCTTTTATTAATGTTTTCTCTTCAATTACTCATCTTTAAATCAAATGATTAAACCTAAAAAAAGTTAGTTTGAAATAGCAGTAAGCTAAAAAAAATAAATGAATACTCATACTGCTAAATCATAGTGAAACAATAAAAAAGAAGACAATATGTATTTCAGTTAATTTTAATATAAATCAATCTAAGGGTGAGTTTTTTTTGGGGGGGGGGGGGGGTTTGAAATTTACGTTATACAAGTGTTCCTAAAAATGTCATTCTCGTCCTTCTATTAGACATGGATCGATGATAGGATCCCGCGATCCACGTTTCATTCGTTCCAAAAAAAAAATAAGCCCATGTCTCGTTCGCATCCTCACGCGCTAGCAGAGCTCTGCCCTAAGCGAATCACCTGACCCCCTCATTCGCTTCCTCCTCGTTGTCTCCTCTCCTCCTCTCGGACGCTTGAATCGGCAGATCATCCTATCCACCCATCTCTCGATTTCTTCCCGACATTTTCCTCCTCCACTCGAACGCTCGGATCCAGGGTTTTTCTTGACTTGCTTTCTTTTTTTCCTTGTTTCCTGAATCTTTCTAAACGGAATGTTTCAAGTATGCTCCTTTCTTTCTAAACGGAATGAT